AAAAAAAAAAAAAAAAAAGTTGATAAGCTGTTGCTAAAGCATTTCTACGCAGAAATGAAACCATTACAGTGATTTTTCCTCTTTTGCTGCTTCTCAGGAGTCATGAGGCCTCTCCCAATGACTCAGTGATATTCTCTCCTCACTAGGTGTTCCAACAGTACCTGCCATTCCCAAAGAAGAGACCTGCTGACAGACATCCCTGCCTTTCTGTGCTGTGAGCTTCGTGCCACTGCAGTTAATGCCAGCTGAGGATTAAGTAAGTGAGAGCCTCTCAGAACACATATATCTGGTCATATTTTCCATGTGATACACATACACTGAACTCAAAGTCTCTTTATGACAAGTTTTCTAATCCTTTAAATATTCCTGTGGTTTGTAAAAAACAAAACAAAATTTATCAGTGCCTTTCCTGAGTGGACAGTTTGAAAACTGGATGTGGTGTTTTAACAACGTTTAGACCTGAGATATTTAGGGGAAAGAAAGAAATACAGCAGTAGCAATTATTTGAGAAGACACACACGTGGCTGAAGTTGCCTTGTGAGGAGATAATACAGAAAGCACTTTTTTTCTGCTGCTAGTAAGAACTGGAGAAACCTGAGAGAAATGTTAGTTTTTCTGTAGATTCTTTGGAGGAAGGAAAAAAAAGTGATTGGCCAAAATGGAGAAAGGTTTGAAATCTGGTGGAGCCAAATTAAGAGAATCTACGTGACAACACTGTGCAAAAAGGAAGGCTGAGGAACATTTTATTGTGGGGTGGTGCAGGGTGGTGAATAATTATATTGGCATCGTTCAAGAACGTGTGAATGGATGGGGTGGCAAAACAGAGCTCCATGAAAGGGCTGAGGAGGAACATGTAAAATGATGGCTCCAGTTAAATGTGAATTCAAAAGAACAAGGGAAAAAAGACTTGACAGTAAAAAGAGTAAAGGACTTTACCAGTAATTTTTGAGTAATTTCTAGCCACGTTCAACACAGGATGTTTGCATTTCAGGAAAAGGCTGCTCAGGGACAAGCCAGAGTTGGTTTTGTTCCTAAAAGAGAACAGAGCGTTCCTGGAACAGGGGAGACATGACATGGTGCTGCTAATCCCTGGGAAGTAGGTCAGGCTTGCAAAGATGGAAGAAGGTACATCTCATTTGAACCTGATTAGGAGCATGAAACAGGAAAAGAATAGAAAGAGAAAGCAAGAAAGGGCCAGTTAGAGAGGACAAGTGTCTGAGCCAGACCTTTTATTACTCCTGTGATTACTTCAATTACCATGTTCCTTACAGAACTTACTCTCCTTTAGCTTCATTTGGCTTCTGTTAAATCTGTACCTCTTCAGCTTCTATGTGTGTGTTGCTCTGCTGGTTTTGCACAGACCTAGAGAGCTGTAGTTTTCCAACTTCCATAATCCCACTGCTGTTAAAGAAAAGGTTCAGGAATCAAGCTGTCACTTTAGGTTTCCACAGCTGTAGATAGAAGTGTCTCCATGAATATCAGGTAAGTTTTGGATAGAGTTTGGAGAAAAAGAAAAAAAAAAAAAGATTAGTTCAATTCCATGTTTGTTTGTTTTAATCTTGACTATAAAATGTAAAGGTCAGTTATAGTGTGGAGATGCCAACATGTCTTTCTCTTGTTCTGCGACACTGCAGGCACCCATGGCACAAATATTCCTGTGCTGGAATGATAATTTATTTACCTTGGTGGCCAGTCCCTGCTCTGCACCAAAGTACATTGTTTCCTAGACTTCTGCATCAGTAATTCCACTGTTTTTCTTGAGGGAACTGAGGAAAACTGTGCTTTGTGTTCTACAATTATTTTCTGTATGGGGAGGTTGGACTGGGTGATTCTGTGTTCACTGAACCAAGATTTTGCCTCCTGATCACGTGGCTTTCCAGTGGAAAAATGAAGGCAATTAAAAACTCAGTGGTTTTAGGTGTGTGGTACAGAGGGTGTAGTTAGAAAATTCATTCTGTAATTTGTTTCTATTAGGTTTATTTTCTACTATACTGAAGCTTGTCCTCTTATTGGTTTGTTTGGTTTTCTCTTAGTAAAGAAAGGTATTCCAGCATTCCTGACGTGTTTTCCTTCACTTTGTGCCATGATGGATTCGTGACACTGCCTAGAGCAGAATAAATTACTGTATCACTCATTTCCCTAAAACACACTTAATATCACCACCCTTGTAATTTTTTTTGCAGTTCTATACTGGATTTCCAGAACCACCCTCCTGGGCTTTTGGAATCTGTTCTCGATGGATTGTTTGCAAAACTAGGAAAGAGGAAGTTTTTTTATAATACAGAGAGTAATCATTTTATATTTCTGATTTTATTTGAATTTGTACACGTGCCTAACAAAATAACAGTTGCAATATATTTTTCATGATGTGAAAACTAAAAGAGGTTTATAGTTTCAAACCAATAATGTCGTAGAGAGTAAACAATATGTGGCCAAAATAAGTATTCCCTGCAGTTTCTAGCATGGATTTATTAACCATAAAACTCGTTGTATTCCAGGCAAATGGTTTAGTTTAGAATAGATAAATCTTTAAAACCACAACACTGCAACTGTTGGGAAGTCACCACGGCCCTGCCTTTGGTATCTGATTAAAATGAACCAAAGGTTTTATACTAGACTGACCAGGAATGTTCATATCTCTCCTTCAAAAATAAGACTAAAAAAATTCCTTGGAATATTAAATATTTAAAGAGCTTTCTTCTTCATATGAGTGATGTTAGTGTGAATCTCACCAAAAGGTAGGTATGTAATGAGAAGAGGAAATCATACTTACAAGGGCACTGTACCCATAATCCTTCCAGTTGAATGTGACTTTCAAGAACATCTCTGACTAACTCTGAGCTCTGTTATCCTGCAGAAATGTGAACAACTGGTTGTCCTGTCAGGCTTTCTGATTTGGAGACAAGTTATCAAAGGTATTCAGCATTGGAAAATGTATCTTATTATCAAAAAATCCCACCATTCACTTGTTTTTGCTTCTTATAGTAATGTGCAGTTCTTCCCTACCTTCCTGAATGGCTGTCCTTGATCTTGTAGTACTAAATAATATTTAAAAAATCTGCTTTTTCATCTTTTATCCGAGTACAGAAGATACTTGGCTACCGAGATGAAGTCTGTCACACAAAGCCTGAAACAGAAGCACACCAGAGCACAGCAGTGCTCAGTGTCCTTCCTGCAGCCAGAGGTATCCCCAAACCCCAGGGAGCAGGGATACCTTGTCCAGGAAGCACGAATGCCTGTGTGGGAGCTGGAGGAACAGCTTGCTGCCTTTGGAAAGGTGACTGCTCAGCAGGGGAGCTGGGACAGGAGGAAGGAGATGTGGAACCTGAAGGGCTGCTTGTTTCCAGTGAAGTGTCTTTATTTGGTATCTTCATTCTCTTCCAAGGTACCAAAGAGAGGGACAGGAATTCATTTGCAAGCCTTATGTAATATCCAGCCCTGCCAAGAGGTGCATGCTGGGGGCTCCCTCTCCCCACACAGCACTCCAGGATTCAGGAATGCCTCCGCTTCCTTATCTTTTGCAGAAGGCAAGCACAGACCTCCTACAAGATCATCTCCCACCTCTACTGTGCATCTGTTCATTTTCTGCCTGTCAAGGCTCTTCAGAATTTAAAAGATCTTGCAGGAGATAGGAGAACAAGATTTCAAGTTTGAGTGCATCAGATGCGACGTGAAACATGAATTTTTATTGCTTGACTTATTTTTCTTAATTTTTTCTTTTATTTTTTTTTTAAGTGGAAAAGAGAAAGGAGAACTGCTGCGTAGGGAACTGTTGCTTGCAGTATATCTTTCTCAGCAGTAAAAATATCTCCAAGACAGAAGTACAGTTCTCTTTTTAGTCCTGACACCTCCAAAGCCTGATATATGTGGCTGAGCTAGATGGAAAGGTATTATTAGGTTTTTTCTTGGATTATGATGCAAGCTCAAGCTGGCTGGGCTCATCAGGCAGTAAATCCAGTGCAAACAGCTGGGGCCAAATTCTGCTCTTGTCCATGTTGCTGTTTGTGGCCAGAATTCCTCTCCACTGGGATCCTGGTTCCCTTCTATCACTTGTGAGGGTGTACCCAGGGCATGACTTACAGTGCAACCTGTCATTGACAGATTAATTCTGACTACATGCTATTCAAGAAAAAAATAAAAAGAGTTATTCTTCCTTACACAGAACAGGAATCCAAAATTCAGGCCTTAATCACACAGCTAAGATTTGTTAGGTATGGCACGGGGAGTTGTTTATACAGGGCTTTTACCATCAGTGACTTCTTGTTTCAAAAATAAGCCCTTTTCAACTCCTTTCTGGTGTAAAGAAGTGAATCAAACTGTGTTAAAGCGTGTAAAGACCTGGAGATCTCCTGTTGACCTCAGCGGGGACTGCACAACGATTGGGGATCTGTGAGCACAGCCAGTGCTTTCCCTGTGCCAGGCAGTGTCCCAGCCTCACTAACAGCTCCCTGCAGGAATGTCAAACCCATTTTAAACCTGCTCCCAGTGCTGCCTGTGGAAGGGGCTGCCCAAAGGCACAGGTATCAACCCAGGCCAACCCCCCAGATGATCCATGACAGAGGAGCAACTGTACACTCATAAAAACACCAAATAGGTGCTGTAATTCTAAAGGTCTCAACGCTTCAAGATTTGCTGCAGAAAGAATAAAAGCTCACCTGAAAATATGGCCAGTTTGAGAAAATGAAAACTGTCCTGTCAGAAGCCAAGTTCTTGCTTAAATGTCCCTAAGACATATTGCAGCAGAGCCGTAAATCCAGATGCCACCGCGTGTGGTTCTCAAGCCAAGCTTCCAAAAACCCCAACCTTTGTGAATATCTTTATTTATCAACCTAAATTCAGCGCTGAGATGAGCGACTTCAGCTGAAAGCAGCAGAATATACGTGAAACAGTAAATATTTTCCAATTTATTGCTGTATTTGCAGCACCACCTTTTCAGAGTTTGTAGTCGTTCCCTCACACACTGAGAAAATATGTCTTCATCTAAAAGCAGTGAAAAATAATATTTCTGGCCCCCGTCTTAATAGGCATTCTGGCCTGATACAGATGCCAGTACTCCTGAGGCTCTTGTGGGGACAGTCTTCTCTAAAAATTTCCACGTTTTAATAATGTTCATCTCCTTTAGTGTTTCAAAACAAGTATAAAATCCTTATCCTGGCCCTCCTGTTTAAGCAGTTTTCCTGTTCCTTTCCCGCTGACCTGTGCATTGGGTGGACCAAGGGCAAGTAATGGTCAGATTTCTTTTATTTTTTTTTCCCAGACAACCATTTAAAAGAGGTAAAAATTACACAAGACATTGCAAGGCACTGGAATTGCCTTGAATTTGCCACTGTAATTCTCCTTGTTCTCCTTTTCCCAGAGACAGCTGAAAATAAGCTGCTCGAAAGAAGAATTATGTGTGATACGATCTGAGTTCAACTCATCACTTATCTTGCATCACTAGTGTCCAATAGACACTTCAGGCCATTTGTTCTTTGGACAATGATCTGAAATTGTTCCTGGAATTTTAGGAACAAGATCCCTTTCAGTTACAGTCTAAAATCAGTGGGATGATTTCATGAGAGATTAGTTACTTGGGTGAAAATTGGAATCAATCCGAAAAGTTTTCTGTTCTGAGTTCAGAATTCTTGGTCCTGACAATATCTTTTACATAACCAAAAATGCAGGTGAATGAAGAGCCATCTGAACAGAGGTGATTTCATTACCAGGCTGGATTGTCTCTGCAGCATTCCTATGAAATGGAACGTGCTTACATTTCACAGTAATTTATGTGGTCATAGAAATATCTCTGCTCCAAAAAGAGGTGGTGTATAGATCTCGTTGCTGGGCCATATGAAAAGAAGATTGCAAACTGTCTGCCAGAAAAGGCTACTCAAGCTTCAAGGAAGCTGAAATTCTCGTGTTTTGTTTGCCAAGGCCACAGAAATCTTCAAATATACAATCACCCACCAGTGATTAAATGCAACTTCCAAAGTGTCCATAAATATTTAAGCCCAGTGCAACTTTCAGACCTGTGGTTTGGTAATTAAGGTGATGGGTGCAAAGAAAACCATTGATTTTCCCTCAGGGGTTCCTGTGCAGAGCACTTGAGATCCAGCCCCAGAACACAAGGGTGTCAGGCACAAAGTCAAGTTAAGATTTTTCTTTTGAAAGAAAGAATTGAAACCAGAGAGGGTGTGCATTTATCTGAAGTGTGGGCTGCTGATGGGGCTTATGTAAAAGTTTCTTTCAGAGCTCCCCTTTTGCCAAAGAATGCATTAGCAGATATCCAGAAATAGCAGGTTTTATGTGGAATATGTTAAGCTGGTGAGCGCTCTGAGCCTCATTTGCCATCCTTTAGCTGTTCAGTGCTGTTCAGCTCCACGAGTGGACAATGTAAACCAGTTATAATAAGTGGATTTTGTATGGTAACAATCCAAAGGACATAAATACATAGTCTTACATGGCTTATTCCAGCAGAGCCCTGTCCCGAAAGTTCATTTTTATTGCTGAAATATTCCAGCCACCGTGTAGCTTTCTGTGTGGCAACAGTGTTCCTGGTCCTCCAGCTTCATCCATAAGCTCTTAAGTATGGATGCCTTTTCCCCTTAAAAGAAATATGAAATATATCATGCACTTTTAAAGGTTTACATATCCTCAAATATCTTTTTTTTTTTTTTTTACATCTGTGTCAGGTGATTAAGAAACATTTTTCTTTGCAAAGGGAGTGTAGTTCCTTATATCCCAGTCACTGAGGAGTGATTTCCAGGGACCCAGAGCTGAGCTAAGCTGCTGTTGGCACACACTTAAGCTCAGGGGAGGGGGCAGTTTGCACAGATGTGCCAAGCAGCAGCTGCCTAAGCCAGACTTTGGTTTTAGACCCACCTGTCTCTGGTGAGGAGATGGTGGATCCAAGCCTTTCATTCTGGTCCTGTGGCTCTCCAGGCACTCCCGGGCAGCTCTGTCCCTGAACCAAGAGTACCATTTGGCACACTGGACCCTGATTACTGCTCATGTCACAGCTCTCTTTCCCAGTGGGAATGTTACTGTGCCGCTGCTCAAAACAGTGGGAAAGGGTGGAATTTGTATTCCTGGGCCTCGCCCAGCAGAACAGCTTTAGATCCAAGTGCCTCGGTAGCACGAGTGATGGGTATTCTTTAAGCTGCTATTTTACACTTTATTCTGCTGTTTCTGTGAATTTTCCCATGATAAATGAATAGGAAAAAATGAGAAAGCATAAGACAATGATGACCTTCTCATATGCCTTCTCAGTTTATGTTTAAAACCCCACAGGCAGACATTTTGCTTCTGTCTCGGAGATGCATTAATGTAAGAAAACCACCAAACCTGGAGGCAACTGAAGCCAAAGGCATTTTCAAACAAGCCACATTCAGTGGCTGAGCAGACATTCGCACTTGTAACACCGACAGAGCCTCGGCCACAATAACAGGAAGATTACTTTCTGATTTGGCCTCACAGAGAATTATACTTTTGGCAAACTCTTAGCACAGAACTGTAAATGACCTCTTTCGTTTTGATCTAAATTCAGATCCATATGCAAGAAATATGTCCTGCTAAAGCACAGCTTCCAGCAGCACTCCTGGTCCTCCTGTCACACATAGTTGGGAAGGAGTGAATTCCATGCAGCATCGAGACAGTAGAAAAAAAATACTTTGTTGCAGTTTAGAAAACAGTAACAAATATTTTTATGTTACCGACACCCCCCCCCAACAATTTCTTAAATGCAACAATGTGATTTCTGTTGCACAAAGAATAAAAAAAAACCCATAAGAATGTGCAGGGAGCCAGGCAAGTCCCACCACACCCTAAGAAAAGAGCTCTGCTGTCATTCCCTAAAACAGAGGGCTGTCATTTGGAAATGTAACAGACAGTTCTGTAAGTCCTCTTAGCTCTCTGCCTACCATTTGCTGCTACTTGTGGTTCAGTCATTTCCCAGTAAAATCTGGGCTGTGAACAAAAGGCCAGACAATTACAACAACTTTTTTTTGGCTGGTAACAGGAACTGGTTATTTCTCCCTAAGGAGGGTTGTGAATTTTATGCCCAGAATTTCTTTTGGGGTCAGCATTACTCCTTAACACAAATATCAAACAGAATATTAAATCTCAGTAGTGCTTGGGGACTGTAAAAAAGGTGTAACCCTTCCCTTGGGGCTACTGCAGCACCAATCTGCATTTTTACATTCTATTCCTATTTTTCTAAGAGTCCCTGTTAAAAGCACAAATCACTTCTAAAGGCTCTGCTCATGAGCATTCTAATGACCACAATCTTCTATAAATAGAAAGAAGGTATGTTACAGAATGGGACTAAAACCAAAGAAATCCAACCACTACTTTGACCTTCATGAAGTCTGCTTGACTAGGTAGAGAATCTTAGAATTACAAGGTCAAAAAGTGCAGAGTATTATCTGCTACCCCAGGCTCAGGGAAAGGCAAAAATCACTGTAGTAGGTGAATAAGCCAAAAAAAATCAAAACCTGGCAAAAACCAAACTAAACAAAAAAAAAACCAACCTCAAAAGCAAATCCCCCAAACAAACATAAACCAAAACAGAAACAAAAACAACCCAACCCCACACCTAATGTTAAAAGCCATCACAATGGATATAAAGAAACCTGTAAATAGCATTTTCCTACTCAATTGCATTTTAACAAAACACATCCACTGTTGGAAGCTGCAGCCCAGCACAGACTGAACATCTCCCTACATACCTAAAGCCTGTCTCCCTGGATAAAAGGAACCTTTTGGGTCTATGCACTCACAAAATTACACAATGCCTGGCTATTCCAGAGAATTCTCTTTTTAGAAGCAGCTACACCTGAGAGCACTGATCCACTCCTTGGTCCTGACCAGCCTCACCTGGGGCCCTGCCCACACCCCTTCCCATAGGTCCTTGGGCCCCATTTAAGCTCAAGCTGGGGGGCCGTGTGCTGGTTTAAGCTGTGCTGGTCTTTAGGGCTGGTTTTAGTGTCTGTATTGCAGCTTCACCTCCTGTTGGAATGGCTCCTGGACATCCCCTTGCCACATTTGAGGTAATGGCTGGATTTTGTTGTTTGTAACTGGTGTTCTATGCTGTGCTTGGGTCTTGTGGCAGGCTGTTGTGGTTGGGTCTGTGTGGGATCCTCCTCGGGTCCTGGCTCAGCCCTGCTCCTGGAGTTGCACTGCTTTTGTTGCTGCCTGATGTGTTAAATGAGGCAACAAATAGACAAGGGCTGGAGTGAAACTGTGGAGGGGGAGAGTTAATGTCAATTGTGAGAATTAAACTTGTTTTCCTGACACTTCAACGCTGGGAAGCATCTGCACTTGCTCTAAAATCTCTGTAAGTGGTTCAGTATTTCCTGCATTAAGTTTTTTTAGTTTAATTGGCCTAAGCAAGGGAAGAAATCTTCTCAAAAGGCAAATGCTGTAATTCTGCTGCACGCTGATCTATGCTTGTCACAGGCTCCTGTCTCTGAAACCAACAGGATTAGAGAGTGGGATTTGCTTCTGTGCTTCAGAATAGGCTGTTTAGAGAAACAGATTACTGGATGCTAAACTAATCTTCTGAAAGAACCTACTTACTTTCAGTATGTGAAGCAGTGGAGATTACTGATGGCTCCTCAGGAGGAGGGAGCCGAGGAGTGAGATGTTTAGTGCTGTCTGTAACCAGAATTTTTCTGTATCTTGTATATTCATTCTGAAAGCATTAACACAGATGTCATATTCAGATCAAATACCTGTTTGCAGAGTGTCTGCCTTCCACGAATGGTCATCAGCAGCTTCCTGGAGAAATCAGTTAAGAGATGTGTATATATTCCTACACCTAGGCAGATGCAGTTAGACCTTTTGGAAGTGTTGCAGTTTCTGCACTCACTGGATTCACCCAGCTACTCGTGGTTGCATTCTAATTACCATCACCGTATCTTTCTGCGGGGTAGCAGAGCAAACCTGGCATGTTTAATAGGATTGTTGTGCTGTTTTCACAGCTTTAACTGTCAGCCTGCCTTTGTTCTCAAGAAATGGAAGGAGTGTTTGCTAGAATACAAGCTGGAAGGAGGGAAAACGCTGGAGGGGATGTTGGGACTTGTGAGGTTTCCTGAGGCATGAGGAAACAATGGGAGTGTGTAACTCTCCTTTACACGGGTGACTGCCTGGTAAAAATGTCTCTTCAGATCAATATTTCCTTCCTTTCTGTCCTGAAACTAATGTGTTTCCCTCTGCCAGTGCATCTTGCTGTTCTGTAGCAGTTTGCAGTCTGTGTTGCTCTCTGAGCTGCTTTGCAGTCTCTGCTCAGCAGAGTGTTTCTCAAAGCACCCCGGGGAGTGGAGCATTGTGAGGAGTTTGATGGTAATGAAGATAATGTGGAAATAAACTGTTCCTTTTGCAGCATCTGGTTTTTAGAGGCTTGGAAAGGTCTGTGTAAGTCTTCTTACACGTAATACTGTGTGCACACCCAAAATATCCTCTTGTTCTGAGTGTCTCACCAAAGGTAGGGAACCTGATGCAGATGGAGAAAGACTGATGTGGCCCAAGGTCTTCAAGCTCCTCTGAGCAGGGTTAAATGTGCTGCCTTCATTGCATTCTTCTAACAACTTGGTTTTTGGTTTCTGCATGTCTTCTCAGTACTCTTATTCCTTTGGTCAAAACAAATACCTCCTACTCTTCCCTTTCCAAATAGCCACCCTTCATGTAAGGACAAATGTTGTATTGTTGTGTTTGCTAGTAGGATTTTTGCAGCCTGTATTTTTATTTTGTCCTCAGGAAAGATTTCCCTGACAGAGGCAGGGGATTGAAACATTTGGGCTTTTTTGGGGA